AATTCCTGAGTAAGGTCCTGGATTTGTTGCTCCAAAATCTCTCTCTCTCTCTCTCTCTCTCTCTCTCTCTCTCTCTCTCTCTCTCTCTCTCTTGGTTATTTTCTTTATTTTCGAAGTAATCAAAGAAAGATTTTTCTTGTTGGTTTTTCTGGGCCTGCTCTAATTCTGTAATTCGGGCTCGGAGTCTATCATTTTCCGCTTCTAATTCTTTTTGGTTAGAACTGAAACGTTTTTTTGTGGTTTCTTCTTTTTCTTGCTGTCTATCTGAGCCGCTTTCGAAATCACCAACAGTAAAGGGTTTGACATCGCCATAATTAAATTCACTATTACGGCGAGTAGGGCCGTCTCAATCAAAGTTGTTTTCCTCCTGGGTTGGTGACCCTTCATCAAACTCGGACCAGGTTGTTTTTTCTTTTAATTCCTTATTCTCAGTTCATAAATCGTCCAGCGATTTTTTTGTATTCTTTAAGTTAGTTTGTAATTCTTGCCGCTCTTGGGTTAAATTAGCCACTTGCGCTTCTAATTCTTGCCTTTTCTTTTCCAAATGGCGATTCTTTTTGGCTAACTTTTCTGGGGGAATGTTAGAACTTTCAGTGTTATCATCAGTTTGGGGTTCAGATTTTTGTCAGAATTTTAATTTATTTTCATTTTTAGTCATGTGTATATTTAAAAATTGTTATATAATTACTTACTTTTAGCAGATTAGCAGAGCAACTCGCTCTAAATACATTTTAGCAAAGTTGGCAGTCAAAAACCTCAAAATAGTTACTTTTTCTTACCTTTGTTATATTGGCTTAAAGGTTGAAACAGCGAGGAAAATATCCTCCCCGTATTAGCAAGGGGGTGACTAATGATGACCTATTTTTGGCGCCTAAAAAAATAACATGATAATCCTAGCCCTAGAAACCAGTTGTGACGAAACGAGTGCTGCCATTTTAGAAAACAAAAAAGTTCTCAGTAATGTTACTATTTCCCAAATATTAGAACAGCAAAAGTACGGTGGAGTAATGCCTAGTTTGGCCGCTAAATTACACGTTAAAAATATTCAAAAAGTCTTAAAAGAAACTTTACGCATTGCCAAAGTTCCCCCCGAACAAATCGACTATGTTGCCTATACCGAAAAACCAGGCTTAATCATTTGTCTCCAAATTGGCAAAATAGTAGCGGAAACTTTGGCTTTGTTTCTCAACAAACCACTTCTGCCTGTTAATCATTTAGAAGGCCACATATATGCTAGTCTGTTGGAAAAAAATGAGGAATGAGAATTTCCAGCCTTGGCCTTGATTATTAGCGGTGGTCATACTCAGATGTGTCAAGTAAACAACCACTTTGATTTTATTCTTTTAGGTGAAACTTGTGATGACGCCATTGGTGAATGTTTGGATAAATCGGCTATTCTACTGGGTTATAATTATCCAGGTGGTCCGATCATTGAAAAATTGGCTCAAACCGGAAAAAACACCTATCAATTGCCTTTTCCCAAAAATGATGAAACTTTGGATTTTAGTTTCAGTGGATTGAAAAGTGAAATTGGCCGTCTAATAAGTAAGGAAAAAGAAAAAATTAACGTTAATGACCTGGCTTGTTCGCTCCAATGTATCGTGGCTGAAATATTAACCAAAAAATTAAAAAGGGCTTGGTTAACTGTTCGGGCAAAAACTATCATAATTGGTGGAGGAGTGATTGCCAATAAATTTTTAAGAAATTATTTGACAAAAAACATTCAAAAATGAGACAAAAAGATAAAAATATTTTTTCCCGAAATTAAATATTCAACAGATAATGCGACTATGATTGGAGTTTTGGCATATTATAAGACTAAAAATGAAAAGGGCGAAAGGTAAAAATAAAGCAAAAAAAATAAATACGAAATAGTGCCGATGAGACTTATTATTCTACGAATACTTAAAAGAAGACCGCAAGAAAGAGCA